TGAAGCGATCTGCAGGCAGTACGTACTACGACAATAGATGAACAGTTGCAAAGGTAACCAACCACATGCATTTCTATCACATTACAACACTACAAGTCACCCTCCCCATCCTTTCATCGCAACCTCTAAAACTCCGAGACTTCTAAGAGCACAAAAGGAAAAGGTGAGCATCCGTTTGTTGAAGAAAGAATTCTTTCTTTCTGTTTCACGCCCAACACTTCCCTGAGCAACCTCCTAACGATACGCCTCTGCACGGCCACGCTCTCCCTCCACACCACCTCGCGATCGATCCTCAAACGGATGCTCACAATGCTTTTCCTTTTGTGCTCTTATGAAGTGACCTTCTCCTTCTCCTATATTCTCTTCGCCCCCGCTGCTTCACGCCCAACACCTCCCTGAGCAACCTCCTAACGATACGCCTCTGCACGGCCACGCTCTTCCTCCACAGCACCTTGCGATCGATCCTCAAGCCGTCCGCGCGCGCGCACACCACACGATCAAACACGCCCCCTGTCACTCGTTTCGAGTACTCTCTCTCGTCTCTCAGAAGGTTCGCGCTACTCCCTAGACCTCCTACCACCTACCCGTGCAACTTACCTCAGCACAGCCATGACGTTCCCCCGCACACGGTTGCTCGCATACTTCGCATCTTCGAGCGTTTCTCCACGCAAAAAGCACGGTCTCGGCGAGATCCGGCCGCGCGCCAGCAGCATCGAAGACATGCAAGGGAAGGGGACCGGGAACAGACGGGGAATGGTGGGGACGGGGAATGGTTGAGATTAACGGAGAGTCGCCTTGGCGGCGCGAGCGGACTAAGGTACACGTGTACACTTAGTGATTGAGGACACGTGTGCGGTTTCCAATTCTTTCCGATCCAGAACTGCTGATTCCAGCCGTGGCACCTCGCCGTCCCCTCATGCATCTACAACACCAGTTGTAGATGCATGATGGGACGGATGCTTTACTGGTGTGACGTCGGAGCCGCCACCGGCTCCGACGTCTCACCAGTTGTACTACGGCGGCGACGTCGGAGCCGTCGAAGGAGTTGCAATGCAGCACGCATCGATTTGCAACCCGCATTAATTTTATTAGAGTCAGACATCAAGCCCGCCTTAAATACGCTCTGGACTTGTCCACACAATAGGCGAAACAAACATACAACTCGCACCCATGTGCACTACAAGGACGCAGACCTTCTAGCTCTAGAACGTCCAATAACATTCTACAACACAATAACTGTGAAATACTCACTATTTGCAATAAGGTGCAATGGATTTGCGTTTTGTGCAAAACCTTTGACCTCACACTCTGCTCATACCAGGTTAAACAACGACTTCTTTCCTCTCTAGAGATAGAACATGTACAGTTACACCGTCTAGGACTGTGATCGATGCGATTCTAGGAAAATCGGTCTCTGAATGCTCGCATTCACTGTACATAACTGGACATTTCATGACGTGCATAACGCAACGTGACTCTGTCTGTCCATGCGCCACAGGTTCAGCAGAAGATAACCTAACGTGTGCGTCAACAGAGATGCAGCAGTTCATTCTACAGTATGTGAGAACAAAGCTTGTTGTAAAAAGTACTTTTTGTGACTCGTGATAATTGATCTTTATCCAACTGAATTGAAATGAATGGAGCACGGATGGATCACTGCGGAGCTATGGACGGAAGCGGTACTCGAAGATCATTGCATTCTGAAAAGGTGTAGGTAGATACGGATGGAAAGGATTTTTCTGCTAAACCCCTAATCCCCTAATACTCTAGCGTATACCTTACTGTACTGCAGCTTTCTCTCTATAGTAGAGACACAAGTGCTCGTAGTTCTATAAAATGAATGGTAAAGTCAAATCGAGGCGAAGGAGGCCTTAACACACTAAACTAGCTTGCCCATAACTTCTTCAATACCCATATAGGACTCCTCAAATATTTAAATTAACGTTCTATTCTTAACTCGTTACAGTATTTGCACACTGAATGTTCTTCACGCCACATTGGAAACCGCCACAATCTAACCTTAAAATAGGCCTACCCTGGAAAATTCATTCCGGAATCAACCGTAGAGGTGAGGAAAAATCGCAAAAAGGGAAAGAAAGACATATTTTTCAACACTTGAACTTTGGTTTTCTTACCATACGCCCAGATGAAGGATAACCACGCGACAAGACCGCGATGCCAAGAATCGAAATAATCTTATAATCGGGTTTCACTGTACAGTATCCTTATATTGGGGTTTCTCAGTGCTGCACATCGAAAATGCAGAGTGCATCAACAATTTGTGTGGTAGCTTTTACGCATCACAGGACTTTACAATCAAATGTGTTTTTGCTTTAGTTCCATCCTGACGCAGCTTGTCCAGGCTGATTTCATGGAACAAGAGTTGGCAGAATTCATCAAGTTCAAGAATTGCTTGATTGGCGGTTTGATCACAGCATTTTGGTTGTTCATCCAATTCTTAGAGGCAGGACTATTCATCCACTTTGTAAGCATTGGGCATATCTTTGGCCAGTTTTTCTTTTTTGGGCCGCCAATCCTCGAGATGTACCGGATGTTCGGTAGTATCTTACAAACCTGAAATAATGAAAATCATACGAGAACCAGATGCACGTTTGGGTGTTACAAAAATACGCTCCAGTTCGAAGGACAGTGCAGACGGCTGGTCGGAAAAGTTTGGACTTACATCGAAGTAGGCATGGGCTGGACAGTTTCCACGGGTTGGTGAATACAGTGTTGGCTTCGCTGCGGAATGCTTCTTAGCCAACACATTAAACATAGACGGCTTGGTACCTTTCTTAATACAATCGCAGCACTCCTCACAAAGAGAATAGATAAAAAAGTCGAGGCCCTCTTGATCTAAACGGTTGAATCGATTGAGTTGCTCTTTCCGTTTCCAGTCACAAGGGTTCTGGTTCACATACTTTCGAAGTGCAGCTTTGCACGGGGGCGAAGTAGTTCTATATATTGACCGGCAGTTAGGGAAAAGGCCATTGGGCTTGACCGGCTTGAGGGCACAGCTTTGACAGAGGTTCGGCGGTAGATGAACTCCGGCACACGTCACCCCTTTTCCTTGGGCGGCTTTGTTTCGATGGCATGGAGCTGGTCCTGCTTTTCCCTGCACCACGCATAGGAATGATAACAATGTCAAAAACAAAACGAAACCCTTTGAAAAAACCATGCCCCCTAAGCCTGTTTCCCTGCTAGTTGAAGAGAAAGACGTTTGTCGGTATGAGCGTTCTCTTGAATGTGTGATGAATATGAAAGCAAAGATATATGACTTCGCCGTATTCTCAGTTCGGTCTCCGTGAGGCTTCTGTTATTCCCGAACAGTTTTCTGTTTATTTTTCTGTTTGATGTTCACTAAACCACCTTGCAAAAGGGCCTGCTCAAATGTTGGAGCTCGGATAGGATATGAAAAGGACCTCATCTACAGTCCATTGGACAACAACAAGCCATCGGAATGTAGTTGAAATCACTACTGAATTTGCACCTCCATGCCGTACAGGAAAATGATATCTCTCGTACTTGCAACTTACATGGCCTTGTCTTGCATATCGAAAACTTGGTACCTGGCGTTAAAGCAATTCTGTAAATATTAATGTCTTTTGTCAATCAAATGATGGGGCCTCCGACATGTGCCCTCCTATTTGTGATAGAGATACTTATGGGCCGAAAAGTCTTGTGATTGTTTTTTGTTAGTAGCAAGTGCAAGCGTGAGTTCACGAGAAACATGGACAAGGAGCGTACCCCTTGCCATCTCTCTCCTGATTTCTAGAATACATTACGACGATACTGCAATTCGGTTCATGGGATCATTACACACACGGAGCGCGTGCCCGTGTATGAAACAATAGATACACAATAACGGGGAGGGGAACAGGCTGCCTTGGGGGACTACCACTAGAGGGGCCATTGGAAAAATTTCAAGGTTTATTTGACTTCTTCGTCAGACCGTAGCTTCAAAGTTGAGAGTGGTGGTCGTTGTGTGTCTAACGACGCAATTGCCCTACTGTTTCTGCCAGTTCTACAGCTTTTGTGAGGGGCTCTCCGATCAAACTTCCTGTCTGTGCCCTGCAGTCCTTTCAATTTCGGAAGGAATACAACAACAAAATATGTGCAAGTCCTACTCATGCAAGAAAAAGTGTCATGCACAAATGCCCCGTCCCTTTTTTTGTGCATAATTGAATATTTGCTACAGCAATTCCACGACACGAACCCTGAATTTTGAAAGAGTGCCAACCCAGACTGCGAACATGGCAGAGGTAAAAAAAAAAAAAAAAAAACAGCATAGAGGATGGTCGGAGAATACGCAAACCTCACGGACGCCAGCCAGATTTCAGGGGACAAAACTAAAACATCGCAGTTGGTTCTGTGCGATACGTTATACATGTTCTATCGAGGACGCACTGAAGGAGACCTCTGCTCGACTCCATGACTGCAATTTTATGTATTGATGGGAAGATAGTTTTCAAAAATTAGTCATATTTCTAAAATGTGCGTGCATCGAGGTTCAGAAAAGAGCATCACCGTTTTCAGGAGTTGTAACTGTTGTAGGGAGTTGTGGCTCGTCGTGGGTGAAGGGGCCGTCATCCACCTGACAACGATGGTGTCTCTCTTGGCGAATCCAGCAGGCGGCCGTTTGTTTCCTCTTCACTCTTAATAAATAAAAATATTCGCGCAATTTTAATTTTTGGCAGTGGCCCTCTGTATGGGGTGTATGAGCTGTTACCCGCTGCATGTTACCCGTGCTCACAGATCATAGCATCCTGTCATATCTGTGCCCAGAAGCATTCAATCCGAAAATCACATGGCATCTGCATATTATCATAACAACGGCATTGTCGGATAGTGCGTAAACATAAAAGGCGTTATAAAATGCACCGACCAGGGATTACACTATGATGTGGCAATAGAAAGTATTATTTAGGTAAATTCAAGGGGCCATATTCCAAGTCCTGCGGCTACAATATCTAAATTGTGCAGATGTACAGTGCACATCTATGGCGCAGATGGGCGCGCCATCATTTTGGCGCCAGTATCTGCTCCTGCGTTTGCCGCTAAATCCAGAATCGTGGGCACCCCACGAAAGCACCGGCCATGGTCGAAGACAAGATCCAGGCCGCCCCCACCCCGACCGTTGTGCCCCCAGCAACTGGGTTCACTAAACCTCTCCTTTTCAAACCTTCTATTCCACTTCTGTCCTCTTCAATGCCCGGGGTACCAAAAGACCACATGACCGCTTCGACGATTTTCGACGACGACCCCGCATCTTTCGGCGCCCCCACTTCCCAACCTCAGAATGAGACGCGTTTCAGTTTTGACTCAGAATTCACAGCCCGCGTGCGAACTGTTCTCGTCGCTGGGAACCCCGGGAAAGAATTCGATCATGTGCTCACTCTCCACCAAGCCATGACCGGAGCCATCCTCTCCGTAAAGCGCCTCAGGAAAGGTAACACCGCCAGCGATACCCGTCGCAAATCTTCCAGTTCTCGCGCATTGTACCCTGTCGCATCGTGTGTCAAGATCACGCCGTGGGATGAAGTCGCAAGGACGGGAACCGTGGCCATTCATTTTGACAAGCCTGACAATGTTGATGTCGAGTCACATGAAGTCCGCCAAGCGAGGCAGGCAGGTAAGCTTGGAAGGTCTCGCCAATCCACTAGAACAGCTCGCACCAAGGTCACCATGATTTCCGTTCGCGGTTGGTCTTTAGAATCCGTGGCGGCCGTCCGCCAGACATGGGACGCCCTCAGCGAAGCGGTCGCACTGAGAAGATCCATCAGCAACGCTCAAACGCCACGTGTCTCATCCGATCGCATTACTTTGCGCACTACCATTATTGATGAGAAGACCAGGATGCGAGAGAGGCGTCGACGCTCTGAAGATCGCCGGCTTTTGCCCAGCATTTCTCCGTCGTCTACAGGTCGACTTTCTCAGGGACGAAAAGCAATGAACATCATGTCTTCATCCAAGAAGGCAACCGCTGGTCGGTATTCTGCACTTTCGAAGGGAGCAACTGGACGAACAAGCTTTTCAGCATCTCTTATTGGCGCTCCCAACCTCAGCGACTTTGACAAGAAACCGCTACGGAATGCTACCCCCAGAACTCCTCCTGCAAAGGCCCCTGCTCCAGTTCGCAGAGTGTTGAATTGGAACAATTCACCTGACACAGACCCAACGCCGGCAAACTCAAATTCTATTGCCACGCAGAAATCTGGTCAAAAACGCGAACGGGAGACCGCTTCATCTGCCGAGGTGTTGGCCAAGCGACAAAAGTACATCTCAGAGCAGCTCAAAAGTCATAAGAGGCTCTCTCAAACTGCGCCATCGAATAGGATGCTGCGCTCCAGCCTGCAGACTCTTCCTAAGAGCTCCACATCCTCCATTTCCAATAATGCTTCAGGTATTGTCAATGATGGAAATACATGTTATCTCTCTGCCACTGTCCAAGCTTTGATGTGTGACCAGGATCTGATGGACCGTCTCCGCAGACGGACGCAGTCATGCCCAAAGTCGGCACCGTTTTCAGCAGCATTGAAGGAAATGTGTGACGATCGAGACTCTTCGAAAACGCTGAGGGCAGGGCTCATCCGACAGGCCGTATCGAAGCATTTTTCTCAATTCTCTTCTTCAGACCAACAAGACGCCCACGAGTTTTTTCTTCGATGTCTTGATGTCTTGGCACGAGAGTTTGCATCGGGAAAGCTTCAAGAGTCCCCGACGCACGCCAGCTATTCCCTTGTACAAGAACAGCAGTTTACATGCACATCATGTGGCCACCAAACGAAACCGCGCCATGAAATTTTGCGAGGTCTGAGCCTTGATATACCAGAACTAACAGAAACGAGTGGTGAAGTCATAGAAATATCCGAACGCTCCATCCAAGACCTTGTCAATGTTTACTTTGCTCCTCAAGATTTACACTTGGATTGCGATAGTTGTGATGGGAAAAATGCCAAGTCACACACTGCGATCGTCCTGCCACCCCGCTCTCTTGTTCTTCACGTCAAGCGGTTTGGTCTCGATTATGATAGCAACACTGGAGTTGCCTCGATTACGAAAATTTCTGACCGTGTCAATATCCCGGAAAGCATCTCCCTATGTTCAGTTCTTGCCCGTACAGCATCGTCATTCCAAGATGCTGTTTCAGCAAGGACGTGCGCGGATCTCGTTGATAAGAATTCGCTTAGTGATGTAACCACGAGTTCCGTTCACAAGATCGGGGGTCACTTCTCACCACCCTCAATTGCCCCAATAGATAGTCCAGTGCCATCATCAAAGACTCAATGTCTTAGCCAAGTTTCTCAAGTCCAGCCACCGCCAGAATCGGATCCATCCAAGCGACCCCGCACACATCATGAACCTTTTAACTTAGCACGACGGTTTCGCGTTCTTGCAAATCCAACTCATGGTAAGAGTAATGTTGCCCTGTCCACAAGTCTTACCAAGAGTTCCTCACACCACCGCAATCCAAACGCATCCGCTCAGGATGAAATTCAAGATGAAATATGCGCATCACAGGCCAGTATAGCAATAGGCGGTCAGGTAGGACTTGAACATCACGTGAAAGCTATCACAGACCTCGGCTTCTCCAGAGCCGAAGCGCAGCAAACTCTGCGAGAGGCGAATCACGACATCACACTGGCCATGGGCCTGGCAATGGACAAGAAGCGGCAATTGCGAGGAACGGTCAAAGACCTCAACGACGATCTGCTTGATTGCATCTCTGAAGTAAAGCAAAGCAATGTCGTCGGAAACAGGCCTTCGGGAAAGTACAAGCTCGCTGCCGTTATCCGTCATCACTCCGATACTACCGACAATGGGCACTATGTAGCTGATGCGTTGCAGTCGGATGGATCATGGCTTTGCTATGATGACGCTTCAGTCTTCAAAATGAGCCACACAGAACCCCAATCGCGCGAAGGATACTTGTGTTGGTACATTGCCGAATAAATTACCTCAGTTTTGGACTCTATCATCTCTTGAACGTGAAGTATGCCTTCGACACGTTAGATGCATCGGGAGGGGTCACTGACTTCAAACTCTTTCAGGCTGCAACGAAGTGGAGTAGAGAGTCCGGTAGCTAAATTTCACTGACCAACTCATGCAGCTTTAATGTGACGTCGCCGCCTGAAGCCCTTAATCCATCTGCGCAAGGCATTGGTCACCGTTCGGTGCCATGGCTCACGAATGACCGCGCTAGCCATAGCGGTTGTGAATATCGGCACGTAGTCACTGCTAGAAGATGAGGAATCGATTTCAATTTCAGTGCCGCTAATCGGGGGAAAGCGTTCCAGGCCCCCCAGCCGGTGTTCCCTGGCTCTCGCCCAAGAATAAGATCTTGATCGGAATGGAGCTGTGATTCCAGGCGCTAGCGTCAGTCTCCGTTCCTGGAAAGAGCTCGCAAATGCCGTCTGGGATGACAAAGGCCAATCCGGCTCCGGCGGTTTCGGTTGCTCGTAAGAAAACTCAAGCGGCATGCCGCCGCGAGTAGCACCAAATCGTCCAAACTGGGCGTTGATGGAGGTCCCATCCCATTACCTGTTCGTGATACCGACAGTGCGCGAGTGCGGAGCAACCGTACACGGCTACTACAACAGCAACTAGGGCGTCAAGTAGGGGGGACTTGAGTCATAATTTTGTTGAAACGTCCCGCATAGAACATAGTCAGCGCCGTGCACGCGGAAGGGGACGGGGCCAACGACGTCGTTAACTGCCCTCTGAAGAGCCAGGCCCCTGGTGAGACCAAGACCGGTTGAGGCAAGCTGAAGAAAATAAATGATTGTCGAAAAAACACATCACTGAATGGCCCACCTGTACATCTGCAACGGTCATGTCCAGCCAGACAAAACCCGGCATTGCATGCAGTGACCATGATTCACCTCATGCACGGGCCCCACCTTCCAGCTCGTGAGTCCCATGATGCGCACACCATATCCTCTTGCGGCAAGAGCAAGAGGTGCCACCTCTTGCTCTTGCCGCAAGAGTCTTGCCTGGCATCCGAAAGGGGTTGTCTAACAAGAACCTCCAACGAGAGATGGGTTACAGAAGCTTGCGCATCCAGATCCTCTGACGGAGGCGAAAGCGAGGGAATGCCTACATGCTCTGAGCAGATCTCGATGTGTCCTTAACAAACACTGGATCCACCGGCGTGTTCGAAACTGAAATCTTCGCGAGCGCGCCATGCGTCGAAAGCCTGATACTTCCAGTATCTTGACGGTACGTCCTGCTCTGGCACATCGAAAATACTTTCGTCCATGCGAGCAAACAAGTGCCGCGGTGGGCCAACGCAGCCGCCCATGTTCGAATAGCTAATAAAGCTCTCGTCGAGATGAGTACTCGAGTGCTTGCGCGTTTCCTCTAAATGCCCTTATAATGATTTCGGTCTTCCATATCACAGGGCGGCGAATAAATCTAGCCCGTTTTTCCTTTTTCACGACAAGGATCTGTACCATTCTCAGAATGAGCTGCACAACTTTTCTAGAATTTATTCAATGGGCGTCCGCGGACCTTCCCTCTAATTCGCTTGTACCGAGGCAGCACTAGCCCATCTCAAGCCAATTGCCGCCCTTCAGTATATGCGTCATTTCGTCAAGCATCGCATTCGCCGTAGGCAACAGCAGGCCATGTCCTGTTCCTGGATCTGCTTGGGCTTGCTCCAAGACGTAGTTCTTGCAATAGTGCCGCCATGAGTAATGCAGCTCTCGATATGGTGGCCAATTTCGTCCAGGCAGGTTAACGCACATGCACAGAGTTGGTTTCTCGGAGCCTTTCTTCGAGAGGGACATGATGTTGCCGTGGGCCTGGTCAGGTCCTTGTGACCGACGTTGATCAATTGCAGCTGATCCGTTTTGCATACTGCTGCCTCCGTGTTCCAAAACATGGGCGCAAGCAAAAAATCTCCTCTCCGCAAAAAAAAACCCTCATTCGTCACAGTCACGACAGTCTGCGGATAATAATTTTGTCTCTGTATGAATCAATATCAGGGAGGATGCCCTCTTGTCAGAGAATGCCTAAGATCTCCGAGGCAACTATGAACCATTGAAACTGAATGCGCTACCTGGAATCTAGGTCATGCTACCATATCTTACTGAACCTCATTCTGCGAAACTGATCTGCCGGCGAGTTGGGCTGCGTTCTTCTCTCTTTGAATCGGGATTGTGATTAACCTCTGTCAGTTCTTAACTCCACTCCCGGGGGCACGCCAAACCAAAGATACAAAGGACTGGTTTCTTCTCGCCTCCGCGCCCACGGCTGAATTGGTCACAGAAAGTCATCCAACGTCAAACACTTCAGTATCCAGCCTACTCTCACACACGAAACAGAACCAAAACCGTGTCATCACCGAGCACATCACAATGCCGTGGCTCTCTTCTCTTCTAAGCGTTAAGTCGACAATTCGTCTGAGTGGTATCGTCGCTATCGTAGTCGGCGCTCCCGTGGTAGTAGCTCCTGCCCTTGCAGTGAAATTCTTTCTCGGCCCCCGCCCCGAAGCTCGTCCCGAAGAAAAGAAGGCGCTGAGTGTCCTAATGCTTTCCAATGGAATTTCGATGTTCTCGGCGGGTATGCACGCGCTCCTCTCTCCGGCGAAGGTCTCGGTGCTAGCGGCGTGTGCCTCTATGGAAGGTATGTACTCAGTGTATCACTCGTACATGCGCGGATGTGGGCAGTGGAAAAAGGCAGAGGGCCGGATGTGGGTGAACACGACGTTTTTGGTCGCTGCTTGGATGCTGTTTTTGACACAGGTCGCCGCGTTATCATGCGGTGACAGGGAGGAAGAAGAGAAGGAGAAGGTCATTTCCTAAAAGGACAATCGGAAAACTATTGTGGTTGTCCCGTTGTTGAAGAACGAAAGAAGTGGGTAGGTTAGAGATAGCCATGAAAAGATGGGGAGGGTGACTTGTAGTGCTCTAATGTGAAATAAATGGATGTGCGGGTTACCTTTGCAACTCTAGCTCTATTGCTGTGGTACCTACTGCTTACGGATGGCTTCTGTTGTCCGTCTTCATAAACAGCTACGCGCTTCTTACTAGCAATATAGGATGCGAAGGACATGCTCTCTATGTAACAGGCCTTGCGAAGAGTACGCCAACCATGTCAGCGTGGGAAGAGGTGGTGCGAGGAGCATGTACAGAAATGTGAAAGAGACGGAATCAACCGTTGGAGACATGCATGAAACCGATGCAAGAAGACATGCATGAAACCGATGCAAGAAGAGGGTGCAAGAAGAGGGTGCAAGAAGAGGGTGCAAGAAGAGGACTCAAGATGTTGATGCAAGGAATCAATTTAAGATGAAACGCGAGACGTCGTAAATTACTAACAGTTTGTACGCATGACCGTAGCATGACGAGGAAACAGTGCCTTCCTATGGGCAAGCAACAGCCTCGGCACCCTTCGTTGATATGCCACTTCACTACCGCTACCTGTTTTCTTTTTCTGTGACTGAAACAGCATGTTGTAGCAACCAAGCATCTCCGGATGAATCTTTGACGAAATACATTTCTTTATACATAACAAACAAACAGATACTAGTTAGACGAGACGTGCACTATACATTAAAACGCTCTTTCTTCAACTTCCACCAGTAGACTTCTCTGCTTCCTTCTCCCTTCTGGCAAGTTCAGCCCTTGCCCATTGCAAACCATCCCGTGCCAGTAGATGCCGGATTTCTTCGAGCTTCGAATGACCGGGCGGATAGAGTAAACCATGCACTTGCCCGGTCTCCGCTTCCGGCAGCTTCCCGCGGTTCGCCTTCCCCTCCCGGCTTCTCCTCGCGTGCTCGCCTGAAGCCCACCGATGCGATTCCCAAAACCCTCGACGCTGTGCCACGACAGCAACCCGTCGCGAGCCCATCCCCATGTGACTGGACCCATGTCCGTACACGCCTTCCGGGTACCCAGGCGGAATGGCCAACTTGGGTATCGGAGAGGGACGCGACGGACGAGGCGTGTGGGAAGGGTCCGGGGTTGCATCGGTGGTGTGGTGTGGCGTTGCGTCGTCTAGCTCAAGTGGATTGCTAGTTTCGACATCAACGCCCCACCCTTCTGGTCCCGTACTTTGAGCTTCCGGGACCGGCGGCGCACTGAACGCAAGGTCTTGGTCGCCGTGGGAGTGCGAAGCGCCGGCGTTGCTTCCATGCTCCCCGTGGATGTCCTCCAAATCCGTCACTGGAAGAGCGGGGCCAGTTGCAATCGGGCTCCACGACGGGCTCGGACCTGGGTTCCCCCCCGCTAGAGGCGTGTGCGGGGTTGGTCCAATGGCGCCGGTAGACCGTCGTAGAATAGAAATATCTGCACACTGCAGATACTCCTGTGGGAAGTTATCCCGATTGCAAACCTGGCGCCGTACGTTCACTCCACCCTCAGCTCCTCCCTGCCCCTTGCACTTCCCCCAGCGAGGCCCTTGTCCCCCGGTGAAGTATTCAACCATGCCCGGCGGATTACACCTGCTAGATGTTGTCCAAAACCACTGCAGAACGCAATGCTCGCAATGCAAGTGGCTTGGAAGGCGATACAACATCTTATTCCCGCCGAGGTACTGCCGCCCGTGCATCGTGTCGGGGTCGAACGGCGAGCAAGGCAAGTACCATCGACTGGGGTACTGCGGGTCAATCGGTGCGCATGCCCGGCTGCGACCATTGTCGCAGATCGCGTTCGGTTCCCGCTGCAGCTGTTGACAATGGCCGCTCCGAAAGCACTGCTCCGAGATTTCGCCCCCGCACTTCGAGACGTCACATACGTGGAACTCGAAGAACCCCCCATGGTTGGAAACCAGGTTCACCTGCGCCGCCAAGATGCCACCCTGCACGTGCGTCTGCACGACCTTACCACCGAAGTAGTATTTCCCCCCGCGCAAGTGATCCTGCCGGGCCCCTTTCTGATCCCCGCAGACACCGGCCCTCCATACGAAATCCTTTTCCAGCGGTAGAAACGGATTCCAGCCCTTCTTTCCCGCCGCCTTCACCTGGGAAGCAACGGCAATCCCAGAAACTGCGGCCTTTTCGCCCGCCGGAAAATGGGCAAAAGGATCCCTCGGCGCCGATTCATTGATGCCCTTGGCAAATTTAGAGGTAGCCAGGGCACCGCGTTGGTTCGGAACGGCGAGGAGGGCGTGACCATGAGGATGATGGAGCAGCATGGATAGAAGGGCGAACCCAATCACGAAGACGAGTGCGTTAATAGACATGATTGCACAGCAGGGAAGAGGATGAGGGTTTGAGGGAGGGAGGGTGGATATGGATGTGGATGGATGGGGCTGTGAAGTGGTGCGGAAGGGTAGGAATTTGTTTGAGAGGAAAGGTAGGGCAGAATGAGAACGAGTTTTGCAAGGCTTGGTAGTTGAGAAGGAGAGTGTGAAGGGAAAGAGTTGGGAAAGAATTGAGTTATGCGAGCTTGGACATGAACCAAGTATAGACTGTCTGGTTTACGGGTGTAGCTGGCGATGTGTGGTAAATGCAAGTCACTGACAGGAAGGAGACAAGAGACTAGTGAGACTAGTGCTTCAAATACACGTACACGATACTTTGATGACTGAATCGAGTGTGTTGAGCTGATCCAGCCTACTACAAAGAGTTATCCGTGATCTATACCAGTGAATGTATAAACTGTACATAATACGGCACTGCATCACGGGGGTGTTGAACTGATTGTTGAACAGGTCGTTGAACTGGATGTTGAACAGGTTGTTGAACAGGTCGTTCAGAGTGTTGTTGAGCATGTTATAGAAGTATTGTAGAAAAGAGAATAAATACAAATAGAAAGCGGCTGGTTGAGGAGCTCGGGGGAAAGGTGACGTCGTCACCTTTCTATGCAAAGGGAGTGGAGGAAGAATTGAGTGGTGGAGGCGAGTTGGGTTCGGAGATTGCTCTGCACTTCACATCTTTCTTTTACCACACAGTGTCGGTCTGTCCGAGGCATGAGGACAACGCAATAGTGCATGAATCGGTTTTATCAAGAGATGAGACGTGAAGTCTGGGCAGCGCTTAATCCCTGCTGCTTTTCTGCATCACATTCTCATGGAAGGCTTATTCATGTGGTCCCGTGTGTACTATCCGTCTTTACGAGATGCACGTCCCATTACGTCCCATTATTTTAAAAGTTTTTATCTCCCCGCCGATTCATCAACAACCATAAACAGACTCACCTTGCACTGTACACTGATATTTCCGCCCCAGGAAGCATTCTTTTTATTCTTCTTCATCGCAAAAAAAAACAGAAAAATCCTTTCCATCCGTATCTACCTACACCTTTTCAGAATGCAATGATCTTCGAGTACCGCTTCCTCCATAGCTCCGCAGTGATCCATCCGTGCTCCATTCATTTTAATTCAGTTGGAT